TGTCTCATCTCACTGTGGTATCTGCTGATTATATTTTTTTTATCTAAAATTTTCCTGGTATGATGATGAGTATTATGTTATGAAACTCTGCTTTCCATTTTAGTAGGCAGTCAAACTTTAGATTCCTAGATTACTTTTATGGACTGTGACTCAAATGTCAATTATATGTTAAAAGCCTTTTCAGTGGTATTTTGTTCTGCCCCAAATAAGGGCTACCTAGTGGCCATTCTGAAGCCTGAATGGTTTATCATGCCAGAGTTCACCAATCAAACCTCTTTCTGTAGTGATTCTGATCAGTTTCATGCATGACATTCAGAGGTCTGCCAGGGATTTTAAACACAGATTTTAAAAATCCCTTTCTCTAAATTCCTCCTCATCCTCACCCTCCCGCAACTCAAGTTGGAGTAGGAAGGGAACTGCCTCAGTTTGCAGTGTGGCAATGGTGGGCTTTGTCCAAAGTCTCTGCAATGCTAATACAGTTGGGAGAGGGAGGGGTGCCTTCATTATGTCAGAGCAGGTATGGCGGCAAGGTTATGTGCTCAGTCTCCACAGCTGTGGCACCCAAGGAGGGTAGAGAAGCAACTTTTCATGATGTTCCCTGGAATAGGGTAGATAAATATTTTTAAAAATCTTTTTTTTTTTAATGTTTGTTTTTTGTTCCATCTACTGGTTGGAAGATTCTAAGATACACATGAGGCAAAACAAACAAAGCACATGAAATTCACTCTGTACAGGATTTCTTTTTGTTGTAATTCTCAGGAAGAATAGCATATCATGTTTCCACAACTTCTTATCCAGAAACAAAACCCTGTAGTTTAAGCCTACCACATTTTCAAACATTTGATGCACATTTTACTCACATCTATAATGCTACTTGCTTATTGGAAAACTAAGGATTTTGTGTTCCCAGTGACATTTGCTCAAATAAGTTCCATTTAAAAATGATAAACCAACTTTTATTCAACAATTCAAATCCTAAGAACAATATAGAACTATCTTTTTATGTAAAAGGACAACATAAAATTTGTTTGAAGAAAAGAACTATAACAATTAACACTTAAAGAGATTATTTAAAGCCTCTATGGAAAAGAGGCTTTGAACACAGGAAGGACTCACATTCACCAGCTTTCTCTAAGGGTTCAGCTTTATTTACTTTTTCACCTATTAGAAAAGTACCAAGGGCAAGGTAATAGATCCTTTGGTTGCAAAGCCAATAGTATCTATTCTATCCCTAACCTTTTAAACATAATAAACCTCTCACATGGCATACTATAAAAACCCTCTCTTTATTTCCAATGATATTTACAGCCTCGAGATATGGTTTCCTTTACTAGCCCTGACACTTCCAAATCCAAGCCCAGCCACTCCAGGAGAAGATGATTTAGACCAAAATTTAAAATAAAAGAAACAAACAAAAAACACCCCTCCAAATAAGCAAACAAACAAAAACCCAGAAACTTCAGGTAGATCTGAAAAAGAGGAAAACCCAAAGCCACAGGGCTATGTTATTGGCAGAATGTTAACTACACTTCTTCCATCAATCCTAGCTAGCCTCTGATATGCATTAACTTGATAGAAGAAATGAGGGTGTGTGTGCATGTAAAAGTGTTGGATTTTTATAGGTGATACTAGTGGCTCGGTGCACGGAATACGGTGCACGGAATATGTGCACATTAAAAGAGAATTAGAGAAAATATTTTAATATTGCTATTTGCCCTTTCTATTTAATAGAAATGTCAGAGATGAAAGAAAATCAGTAGAATGTATGTGAAAAAGGAACCCTTGTGCACTGCTGGTGGGAATACAGACTGGTGGGTGCAGCCACTGTGGATAACAGTATGGAAGTTCCTCAAAAAACTAAAAATGGAACTCCCATTTGACCCAGTGATCCCACTTCTAGGAATATATCCCAAGAAACTAGAAACACGAGTCAGAAAGGATATATGCACCTCTATATTCATAGCAGCACAGTTCACCATAGCTAAGATTTGGAAACAGCCTAAGTGCCCATCAGCAGATGAGTGGATTAGAAAACTGTTGTACATCTACACAATGGAATACTACGCTGCGGTAAAAAAGGAGTTCTTACCATTTGCAAAAAACATGGATGGAACTGGAGAGCATTATGCTAAGTGAAATAAGCCAGGCAGAGAAAGATAAATATCACATGATCTCACTCATTTGTGGAATATAATGAACAATATAAACTGATGAACAAAAATAGATCCAGAGACAGAGAAACATCAATCAGAACATCAAACCTCAGGGAAGATAGGGGATGGTGGGAGTAAGGGGGAGAGATCAACCAAAGGACTCATATGTATGCATATAAGCCTAATAAATGGACACAGACAACAGGGGGTGGAGGGCATGAATGGGAGGTGGAGGATAATGGGAGAATAAGGACACGTATGTAATACCTTAATCAATAAAGAAATAAAAAGAAAAAAAATTTTCTAATCCATTTCATTAAACTAGTGAAAAAGCATTCTTCTTAAAAGAGGTGTCATGCTTAAAAATACATTGGGAATAAATATTCCAGTTATAGAAGACATTCCTTAAAAATATATGTTTAATTTTGGGGGAATGAGAGGAAGGACTCTTATTCACCTCTAAACAGAGAAGATGAAGCACGAGTGACTTCTAAGATGTTAAAAATATAGCTCCTGACTTAAAAACTTCTAGAATACAGAGAAAAAATGACCATGAATATATTAAATAATTAACAAAAATAAATAATAAAAGAAAATTATTTTTCTAAAACTTTTTTTTACTAAGACTTCTACTGTCTTCTTGAATATTAAAAATCACTTTTCTTTTTTCTGATGGAAAAAAAAGCATAAAATATTTGTTAAATAGTAATACTTGAAATTGAAGTTAAGGCTGAAATAAAATGCTGTTTTGCTATAGCCTAAAAGGTTAACAAAGCCAATGTAGTTTTAATTCATTAACATGACTTCAAAGTGAAATTCTCCAATATAGAAAAAGAGAAATCAGCACAGAAAGGATCAAATTTGCACTAGAGGTGAAAGCACTTGGTCACTTAAAAACCAAGAGGGAGAAAAAAACTAAAGCAGTGTCTTGCTACAGTGTGGGGAGCTGAATTATGAGCAAAGCATAGCTTAAATATAAAATTTTGTTGCTAAAAATTTAATAAAAATGTGGAAATGTAAGAAACTCAGAAACCATAGCTATTTCCATTTTAAATGAGAATGATAGCTCTGCACCACCAGCTGTTTACAGTTCACTGAATGAGGTTCTAGTTGATAGGAGATAATTACCTCTTCCCTACAGGAGGCAAAGAGTTTCTATTTCTACAGACACCTCTGATGAATGGCCTCGGGAGTATGAGACCAAGACAGCATGCCAAGATCAGTTTGGTTTTAATGATCTTTTAAACACTTGATTTTTCTATTTTTCTCTATTTAAGTATAAGAAAATGTGCACCTTAAAATATACAGAATCCAGCCCTGGCTAATTCGCTGCTTTTAACCTTAAAAGGAAAGCAGTGATTGTACACAGAAAGTATACGATCAATAGTATTGAAAAGGATAGGCATGGTAATTTCAACCCAAGTGTTGAAGAATTCTACTTACTAATACTGTATTCCCCTGAAAACTATTCCATCTATAAGTTCCTGTCAGTTAATGATGCCTCCATATCTCCAGTCACTTCATCTCTTGAATTACTTCGAAGGGCCTATCAATTCTATCTTTCCAGTCTTTCTCAAATTTGCCTCTTCACTTCCAATGCAAAAGGCCACATACCACAATATTTCTCACTTGCTGTATGGTGCTCATATCCTAAATGGTCTCCTTGCTCTAGTCTCTTCCAATACCAGCACAGTTAACCCAAAATACTACTTTCACATTAATATCACTAAAGCACTCTCATTATGTCACTCTTATCTGGTATGTGTAACTTCTGGCAAATAAAGAAAAAAAATCAAAAGTAAATCAATCCTCTCCCCACAAATATGTAAGACTGGGTATGAATATTAATAATTAAAAAAGAACAATTAAAAATGAAGAGAATAAATTTAAAAGCATCTGGAACTTGGCGTTTAACATTGATTTTTTTTTTCTTTGCTATTTATGTTAAAGTGATTTTTATGCAATAAATGAAATATTTCAGTAACCACTTTCCACTTATATATCATAAAGCTTAACCTGCACCCAAGGACCTCTGAATTCTGGCTCCCAAATCTACCTTTTTTTCCAGCTTATTTTTCATCCCTCCTTTCATATAACCTCAAACTCCAGGCAAACTAAAATATCCCTTATCTCACTGGGTTCCTATATTGCCCTTTCCCAGCTCATTATGGGTCATTACTCACATCATATGCTCCAACTAGTGTGTTCTTCTCTTCCACTCAGTGTCTAAATTCTACCTAATTACCCTTTACAGCTTAATTCCAATAATACCTTTTCACAAAAACTATCCCTAACATCTTTCCCCATTGAGGATTTCATCTATATTTCTCATATAAAATGTACACCTTTCGCCAAAACCGGTTTGGCTCAGTGGTAGAGCGTCAGTCTGCGGACTGAAAGGTCCCAGGTTTGATTCAGGTCAGGGGCATGTACGTTGGTTGCGGGCACATCTCCGGTAGGGGGTGTGCAAGAGGCAGCTGGTCGGTGTTTCTCTCTCATCGACGTTTCTCTCTATCTCTCTCCTTTCCTCTCTGTAAAAAGTCAATAAAATATATATTTTTTAAAAAGTACACCTTTCTATTTTGCATAATTGTGTGTGTGTGTGTGTGTGTGTGTGTGTGTGTGTATAAGAAGTAGCCCCCTTTAGGGCATAGGCCTTGTTTTAGCTATCTTTGTATTCCACTTGAGGCATCACAGAAAGTCCGTCTGAATAAATATGTAAAATAAGTAGACTCTCAAAAAGCTAGGATTAGGAAGACTAGAAACTAAAAGGAACTCTCATTTTTAGTTTTATTATGATTTCCCTTCTTTTTCACTCTAGTTTATTTCTTAACCTAACCTTCTTACCTGAAGATATGTTATTCTCCGCTGGACCAGTTCTGTCAAATCTTTGGCCTCTTTTTCCCGCCAATCACCTGCTCCATCTGTTTGACTGAGGTAGTATAGATCCGTCATTATGGACCTATAAAAGAAAACAACATTGGAAGTTTTACTTTTTTGTGCTTTCTCATAGGATTACACAAACATAAGAAGAGTCAAATTCTTCATAAAGATTGATGCTCATACCGATGCGAATACTAAGTTTTTATTTTCTATCAAGGCTGTGAAATCCAACAATTAGCCTTATTGGTAAGAAAAACCTACTCCTCTTCATCCCCAGCCAGTCAGCTATACTTATTTTCCAACAAGAGTACTACAGAGACTAGGGGGAAGTGGATACTTATAGCAATCCATCAATCAATCAATAAATAAATAGATTAACATAAGGGAAAGAAATTAAATTGGTACCAGTATTTGAACATTTCCTTTGTGTTCTCACTACTGTCATTTCCTATCCTCTATTAAATTTTATTTATACTTTAATGCTGAGTGGCTGGAAAAAGATCAGAGAAAAATTTTGACACAGCTCTTAAACAGTAGTTTAAACCAAGGGTCAGCAAACATTTTTCTATACAGAGCCAGATAGTATATATTTTAGGATTTGTGGGCCTCTATTGTTTAAAAGTAGGAGAGTTGCCATAGGATATTCAAGGAATGTTTATAAGAATGTGTTTTTTCCTTGTGAAAATTATAAAGTTAAAAATTTATTTCTATTTGTCAGAAAAGTATATAATATAAATAAAGTTTATCATACATACACTTCTAGAATTCACCAATAAAATGATATTAAGTAAAAAGCATAAAACATTAGCTGGAGGTTCAAAAAATACTTAGAGAAAACAGATGTAATATTAAATAATAAGAACAACAATTAACAGGTATTGAGTTCTTACTTATTGGCCAGATATTTATTTTAGGTACTTTACATTATTTCATGTAATCTTCACAGCTGCCTTATGAATTAGATAAGGAATGTGAGGCACTAAGAGATTAAAGAATTTGCTCAAAATCATAAAATTCAGAAACAAAGAGTGTGAATTCAAATCCAAGCAGTGTGATTCTGAAGTTTAGGCTTTTAACGGCTGCACTAACAAACATAAAAGTATGGGATCAGGAGTACAACAATGTGAACTCTGTTCAATGTAACTATGCAAAATCAGAAAAGAAAGAGCATTGGGAGCTGGACAGACCTATTTCCCAATTTTGGCTCTACCTCTTAAAACCTGTTAACCGAGCGGGACCTATAAATACGTCAAACATAAACACTACCGGGAATGGGTAGGACATAGAATACGTCCTTGAAAGATATGTTGCGCCCTGAGAGGGACGGTATATATTTTTTGTAATCTTTATAATAGTTTGTAAAATTTATAATTTTTTATATCTTATTGATATTTTACGGAGAGGAAGAGAGAGGGATAGAGAGTTAGAAACATCGATGAGAGAGAATCATCGATCAGCTGCCTCTTACTGGGGATGCACCCGCAACCAAGGTACATGCCTCTGACTGGAATCAAACCAGGGACCTTTCAGTCCACTGGCCGACGCTCTATCCACTGAGCCAAACCAGTTTCAGCTATAATTTTTTAATTCAATGTTTCCATTTTTTTGTTGGTATTCTTTCCTATTTGTTTGTAATTTTGTATTTTCCTTTGTGCTTTATATATACATAAACGAAAAAAATATATATTTTATTTATTTTAATTAAGTATAAGTAAAAAAAATAATAATACAAAATTACGTCCACTGGGCGTGACGTACTGACACGTCCTAGTGAAAGAGTATGCGCCCGTTGTACGTTATGTAATTAAAAAGGGAACTCCCCGGTTAACAGGTTAACTGACTCTGTGTCCTAGGAAAGTTATTTTGACATCTCTGAGACTAAGTTACTTCATTTTAAAGTAAGTATAGTAAAATGATTAATGTTAATACATACAAAGTAATAAAATATATTTGGTGGCTATTAGCTATAGACTGAATATCTGTGTCTCCCCCAAAATTCGTATCCTAAAAAAGGCTAAAACCTAATATGATAGTATTAAAAGGCAAGGTCTTTGGGAAGTGCTTAGGTCATGAGATTAGAACCCTTGTGAATGGGATCAATGCTCTTATAAAAGAGACCCAACTGAACTCCTCAGCCTCTCCTACCATGTGAGGTCACAATGAGAAGGCACTGTGCTGTGGATGAACCAGAAAGAGGACCCTTACTAGCCTCCAGAATTTTCTGGTGCCTAGTTTGGACTTCCCAGACTCCAAACAAAACTGAGAAATAACTTTGTATGTATAAGTTACCCAGTATTTGGTATTGTTATTATAACAGCTTATAAAGACTAAGACATTACTATTTATACTAGAACTAGAGGCCAGGTGCACAAACTCGTGCACAGGTGGGGTCCTTTGGGATGGCCTGTGGGGATTGGCCCCAGCTCACACCCCAAGGCTCAGAGCCCCAGCTCATGCCCCCAGCCTCGAAGCCCCGCCCGGCACTCCACTGTGGCCTGTTGCCACCCCATCACCTGCTACATGATTCCACCATGGTCCTGCTCTCATTGGGGCCCATTGGGGCTGGCAGTGCCTCCTCTGCGACCCCTGCATTGCCAATGCCTGCCATGTTGCATGCTGCCTCTGGTGGCCAGCATATGTAATAGCGAGAAATCGAACACCCGGTTCGAACAATTCACATAGTAGGGTTTTTATTATATAGTTAGAATGCCTCAGTTGTTTCAGAGTTTTTATCTTGTTTGTAAAGAGTATCTACTAATAATTCTACAATTAAAAGGAAGGACCCATTGGATGTGACAGTAATATGTGGTACTAAAAGCCAGTCAGAAAAATAATCCAAAACCCACTGCCTTATACACCCTGAAAGAGATTGATCAGCGAGGACTCATTTAGCAGATGATGAAGCCAGCCCTCAACAACTGCAACTTATCTAAGCATACGTGACACAGTCCCAGTTCTCTTTACTCCTACTTCTTAACTAGATGTTAAACCATTTAATAACAAAACATTCTTCACCACAGAAAAACTAAAGTCTTATTTACTATCCTAGAAAACTACTAGAACTTAACATAATTAACAGAGAATACTTGATAACAGGCCCTTTGAATAAAGCAAAACTATTAATATAAAATTAAGAATCATAGCCACAGTTTAGAATATTCACCCAACTTACTGTAGAACAGCTTTCACAAGCTTTAGGACAACAGGGTCATGTGTTGTGAAGCCTGTTAGGCATCTGTTTAATGTGTCAATATTATCCACACACAGGATACTTCACAGCTTTACTATTTCCATGTGCATCCTTTAAACAGGACAAGATACTTGACACTTAATTTTTTAATATTTCTTACTCTCACCTAAGATACAAACATTTTCTTTTTATAAAAAAAAAATTAGTTGGAAAAAAATACACAAACCTACAGCTTACTGGTTCCTTAAGAAATTAACTTGGAGTCTTACACATACACTGAACCTTGGTTCAACTTTTAAGTTTTTCCAAATTACAAAACTAAAGCTCCTACGAACTATTATGTAGCCTCCAGTTACTGGGGGAAAAGTCCATGTGAGTTGATCATGGAAACACATAAGCAGTCTTTTTTATAAGTCTTTTTCCTACCATTCTCATCACACTCATTATTATTTATATCTCATGGATTTTATCATATCCAAATGTGGTCATTTGCTTTTTCCTACTCATACAATAGAAGTGGTCACAAAACGTGTTGTAAATCTCAACATTAAATGGCAATATTGTTTCTTTCTGTAGTAAAGTGGGTAAATAACCAGGCTAGCCTTGACCAGTTTGGCTCAGTTGATAGAGTGTCGACCTGTGGACTGAAGGGTCCCAGGTTAAATTCTGGTCAAGAGCATGTACCTTAGTTGGGGGCACATCCCCAGTAGGAGGTATGCAGGACAGCTGATCGATATTTCTCTCTCATTGTGTTTCTAACTCTCCATCCCTCTCCCTTCCTCTCTGTAAAAAATCAATAAAATATATTTTTTAAAAACACACACAGTTTACCAGCATTAAACATATACATAAACATAAGACAAATAGCACTACATTTTGTTGATAATAATAATCATATAGCCTCAAAAAGGTAAAAACTACTTTAGATCTAATTTGGAGAGAAAAATTCTCTAAAATATACAAGTTGGCATAGTTTATGCTTTCTTACTGTAGTAGTCAATCCATTCCTTTACCATTGGAAATGAAAGCCCAACTTTGTATTTTTTTAAAAATTAGAACAGTGAAATCATAAAAGTGAATTTTTTACCAAGTTACATCAGTACTAAGCCTTGGCAATTATTCACATCCATCCCAATCCGTCTAGAAAATGGAATAGCCAAGATGATTAGAAAGCCAAACACCAAAAACGAACAAGCAAATAAAGCATACAAGTGAAAAAAAAACACAACAGTCAACTAACATTAAGTTTGCTTTCAAATATTTTTTTCTTGGACTCCCCATTGGAGATCATGTAAGGAAGACAAGCCCAGAAATGATGTCAAATTCAAACTAGTTCTTGGAAGATTCAATAATGATTTAGAAGTTACCATCCTGCAGTTTATCATCTTTTGGACAGAGATGTGAGAATAGTCAAACTGAAAGTTTCAGTTTTGGCCCATTATTGGGAACCATAGTAACTGAAAACAAATCTACTTGGTTTTCAGTGATTCCACTCTGAAATCAAATCTCCTAAAAGTGACCCAAAAGCTGGAAATCTTGCTGTCTTGGTTTTGACTATGAAGATAACAAAAATTTAGAAGGTGGATGGTAAATCTAAAAGTCTGGTATGAGGTCAGGTCAAAGCCTGGGAAATACAAACTCAAGCAAAGTACCAGCAGACTAGCACGAGGCAGTTGAGGGTACAGTGCAGGTATCTGAAAACAATGGTAGGACAGAACAGAATCTATGCCTCTGGCAGCAAGCCAGCTATCCCAGGCAACAAATTCTCTTATTTCAAAAGCTAGGCTACATTTATGTTCTTTGTATTGTCTGTTAAATTTCCTATTTTTATATTTTAAATATTCACAAAACTCCTCTTAAATGTCCTGATGTTTTGCTTATACATGATT